CATCTGAATAGTTCTTATAAAGAGTTAACTGCATAAGAGAAGTGGCAGTATTTCTGAACTGGGAGAGTACTTCTCAAATACTATATAACTTTCAAATCAAGCTTATCCATGACACCCTTAACACAGGACAGACAAGTTATTGCCCTGGGCTCCTTTCTCCAAGCATTATCTCATGCTCCAAAATCCCACACCCACGTCCCCCATCCCCATGCCACACACATGCACACAAATAGAAACTTAAGTAGGAATGCCCAGGTTAGACATGTACCGTTTATTCTGGCTAAGTACAAGAAGATTGGCAAGAGGCCTGGGAAGAGGGGGCTTCTAGATGCCATCCAGATCTAAACTTCTAAAGAAAAAAGAGAGGAATCTAAACTTCTGTTTAGTTTCAAGTTTTAAGAGAGCTGCATGCTTGCTTGCTTTTTTGGCTCTCTTTAGTTTGAGTCCTGGAGAAAGGAACCAAACAAAATGACATATCATGCTTAACAAGGATGCCACGCTATGATTCTGTATGATAAAAATGCATTAAGGCACCAGTACTTAACAACCACAAATGCATGCACAGTACTTTGGTAACACTTAACAGGTTATGTTGGAAGACAGACTTCTCCTCTTCTAGTTATTTTGGAAGTAAACAAGAAGGCAGACTTCTCATTTTCCTACTCACCTTATGCTGCACTTCCCAGTTCCTGGCCCATGAAGTAAGGAAATCACATGTGTGCAAAATTAAAGAATTCCATGATAACTACATTATTTTCCATTTGCATGTGCATTTGTCTACCGATCCCTAAAATATATCTTAAATTAGTCTGCTTTTCTCCACTTTTCCCCTTCCATTTTATTTTTATTTATTTATTTTTTTTGAGACAGGTTCTAGCACTGTCGCTCAGGCTGGTGTGCAGTTACACAATCATGGCTCACTGCAGCCTTGACCTTCTGGGCTTAAATGATCCTCCTGCCTCAGCCTCACAAGTAGCTGGGACTACAGGCGTGCACCACTATGTCCGGCTAATTTTTGTATTTTTACTAGAGATGTGGTTTCCCCATGTTGCCCAGGCTGGTCTCAAACTACTGCGCTCAAGCGATTGGCCCGCCTCAGTCTCCCAAAACATTGGAATTACAGGCATGAGCCACCGCACTCAGCTCCCACTCCATTAAAACAACAACAACAACAATGAATGGCAGGTCTGGATTGGAGATGACTACCAGCACAGAATTTTTCTTTCTTTCTTTTTTTTTTTTTTTTTGTTTGATATGTTTAGACAGAATCTTCCTCTGTCCCCTAGGCTGCAGAGCACTGGTATGATTATGGCTTATGGCAGCCTTGACCTCCTGGGCTCAAGCAATCCTCCCACCTCAGCTTCCCAAGTGGCTGAGACCAGAAGTGCAGGCCACTACACCCAGCTAATTTTTATACTTTTTGTAGAGACGTGGTTTTGCTATGTTGCCCAGGCTGGTCTTGAACTCTTGGCCTCAAGTGATCCTCCTGCTTTGGCCTCCCAAAGTGCTAGGAGTATAGGCATGAGCCACCACACCCAGTTGGAATTTTTTGCTACACACAGTGCTGCCCTTTTTTTTCTTTCCTCCATGACAGAGGCTTTGAATGCGGAAATGACCTCCTAAAGCTGTCACACTGGAATTCTGCTATAAAAATGATTTGCTTTTTCCTGTATGTCCTTGGTCGTTGCTAAAAACTATAACAATTTATTATTTATCTTTTGTTTTGTTTTGTTTGTTTGTTTGTTTTTGAGATGGAGTCTCGCTCTGTCGCCCAGGCTACAGTGCAGTGGTGCAATGGCACAATCTCAGCTCACTGCAAGCTCTGCCTTGTCTCCCGGGTTCACACCATTCTCCTACCTCAGCCTCCCGAGTAGCTGGGACTACAGGCGCCTGCCACCACGCCCAGCTAATTTTTTGCATTGTTAGTAGAGACGGGGTTTCACTGTGTTAGCCAGGATGGTCTCGATCTCCTGACCTCGTGATCCGCCCACCTCAGCCTCCCAAAGTGTTGGGATTACAGGTGTGAGCCACCGCGCTCGGCTATTTATCTTTATTTTTAAGATTTTGGTTTGTTCTCCTAACGCTGATGCTAAAGGTGTTTTGAAATACAGTGGGCACACAGACTCAGAAGGAGTATGTCCAAAACTTCAGAAAAATACCAACACTGAGAACTTGCAAAACATCTTAGCCACTGACAGCTTAAACACAGTCTATTAATAAGGAAGTGTTGCCAGCCCTTTTAAAGTTGACATTTGTTACAACATTTATTTTTCGTAATCTTAATGCTTCTTTTAATTACAAAAGTAGTTACATAAATGCTGTAGAAAAATTTAAAATACAGCTAAGCAAAAGAAGAAAAATAAAATATTTCTACTATCCAGAGATTATAGATAATAACACTTGAGTGGGTATCCTTCTACATGTTATTCCATACACATTTATTTATTCATTTTTTAATCTAAATGAGAACACATGGCTGGGCACAATTGCTCATGCCTATAAACCTAACACTTTGGGAGGCCAAGGCAGGAGGATTGCTTGAGCCCCAGAGTTTGGGACCAGCTTGGGCAACATAGCGGGACCCTATCTTATTAAAACAAAACAAAATCAAAACCAAAATTAAATGGGTGCACATTGTGCATATTGCTTTGTAACATGCTTTTTTTCAGCTAACAATCTTTCTTTCCATTTTCTTACATTATATTTTCTTTTCTTTTCTTTCTTTTTTTTTTTTTTTTTGAGACAGAGTCTCATTCTGTTGCACAGGCTGGAGTGCAGGGATGCAGTCTCAGCTCACTGCAACTTCCACCTCCCAGGTTCAAGTGATTCTTGTGCCTCAGCCTCCTGAGTAGCTGGGATTATAGGCACAAGGCAATGTATTTTCATCTCATCTAATACTCAGTCTAGATTCAAATCTTCTCAGTTGTCTCAGAATGTTCTTTGTAGCCTGTCTGCCTAAACCAGGGTCCAACCTAGGAACAGGTACTGATTTTGATTATATATCTTAACTCTCTTTTAATATAAGACAGTCCCTCTTCTCAAGACACCCATTTATTTAAAAGACAGGCTGAGCGCGGTGGCTCAACGCCTGTAATCCCAGCATTTAGGAGGCCGAGGCAGGTGGATCACAACGTCAGGAGTTCGAGACCATTCTGGCCAACATAGTGAAACCCAGTCTCTACTAAAAATACAAAAATTAGCTGGGCGTGGTGGTGTGCGCCTGTAGTTCCAGCTATTCGGGAGCCTAAGGCAGAAGAATCGCTTGAACCTGAGAAACGGAGGTTGCAGTGAGCTGAGATCATGCCACTGCACTCTAGCCTGGTGACAGAGCATGACTCCGTCTCAAAATTTTAAAAAGGCCAGGCACGGTGGCTCAAGCCTGTAATCCTAGCACTTTGGGAGGCCCAGCTAATTTTGTATTTTTAGTAGAGACAGGGTTCCTCCATGTTGGTCAGGCTGGTCTCAAACTCCCAATCTCAGATGATCCACGCACCTTGGCCTCCCAATGTGCTGGGACTACAGGCGTTAGCCACCAAGACCAGCCATGATTGTGGTTTTTGCCACTGTTTTTTAATGGCAAAAACCACAATTGCTTTTGCACCAGCCTAATAGTTATCCAAGTGATTAGTTTAAGATCATCCCCTGGTTCTGGCCATTTTCATTGTACCAAAAAATTATTTATATATTTACACCTTTCTATTTTTTACTTTTTACATCAAACAGGTAATGTGATGATGCTGTAACAAGGTTTGAGGCAAGCATATCTCACACATAAGCATGAAACCAAATTATCATGCTTATGGCCTACAAAAGCACCTACTATGCTTTTTAAACTAGACTGTCTCAACTGTGCATTAATTATGTATCTAGATATAGGATATGTGCTTGGGAAAATGTATAACTAAACTTTATGTCTTACTTCTCAAACTTAAGAAAAACATCTAGCAACATCTTACATCAGTTTTCCATTACCTAGTGTTACATCATTGTTTTTTGTTTTGTTTTGTTTTGTTTTGAGACGGAGTCTTGCTCTGTCACCCAGGCTGGAGTGCAGTGGCACGATCTCAGCTCAGTGCAAGCTCCGCCTCCCAGGTTCATGCCATTCTCCTGCCTCAGCCTCCTGAGTAGCTGGGACTACAGGCACCTGCCACTGCACCCAGCTAATTTTTTTGTAGTTTTAGTAGAGACAGGGTTTCACCATGGTCTCGATCGCCTGACCTCATGATCCACCCACCTCGGCCTCCCAAAGTGCTGGGATTACAGGTGTGAACCACCGCCCCCGGCCCCACATCACTGTTAAAATCATACTTTAGGCCGGGCGCGGTGGCTCAAGCCTGTAATCCCAGCACTTTGGGAGGCCGAGACAGGCGGATCACAAGGTCAGGAAATTGAGACCAGCCTGGCTAACACGGTGAAACCCCGTCTCTACTAAAAAAATACAAAAAACTAGCCAGGCGAGGTGGCTGGCGCCTGTAGTCCCAGCTAGTCGGGAGGCTGAGGCAGGAGAATGGCGTAGACCCGGGAGGCGGAGCTTGCAGTGAGCTGAGATCTGGCCACTGCACTCCAGCCTGGGCGACAGAGCGAGACTCCGTCTCAAAAAAAAAGAAAAAAAAAAAATCATACTTTAGGCCAGGTGCGGTGGCTCAAGCCTGTAATCCCAGCACTTTGGGAAGCCGAGACGGGCGGATCACGAGGTCAGGAGATCGAGATCATCCTGGCTAACACGGTGAAACCCCGTCTCTACTAAAAAAATGCAAAAAAAAAAAACTAGCTGGGCGAGGTGGCGGGCGCCTGTAGTCCCAGCTACTCGGGAGGCTGAGGCAGGAGAATGGCGTGAACCCGGGAGGCCGAACTTGCAGTGAGCCGAGATCCGGTCACTGCACTCCAGCCTGGGTGGCAGAGCGAGACTCCGTCTCAAAAAAAAAAAAAAAAAATCATACTCTAAGCCTATACTTTACCTTAATGTTATCTGCTTCATAGAATAGTTATTCCTTTAACACTTATTTTTAAGAAATAAATTTATTTTACTTGTAGTTACTTAAACCCTAGAAATAATTTTTTCAAACAATAGAAATACAGCCTTTTACAATAAGATAGTTCATGATTTGTTCTTTCAAGGATTTTTTTAATAAGGTTCTTCTACAATTGGATGGTGACAAAGTTTGGGTTTGTTAGGATTATTTTTCAGCAGCCAATCAGCTAGCCAAATCTATGGGGAAAAAAAAAAACCTTAAGTTAAAAAACAGTTACATATTTCCTTTCAATATATACTATATCAACTGGAAACTTAAACAGTTTTCAAAATCACTTTAAGAAAATGACCATTAAAAATGGAAACATTTGGATTTACATTATGCAAGATTGTCAAGAATAGATCCAAACTGGAAAGAAAGAAGTAAAACTATCTCTATTCACAGACGGCATAAACCTATATGTGGAAAATCCTAAGGAATTTACAAGGAAGCCACTAGAGCTAATAAATTCAGCAAAGATGTAGGTTATAAGATCAATACACAAAAATCAATTGTATTTCTATACATCAGCAATGACAGTTCAAAAAAAATTTTAAATCACTTTCATTTACAATAGCATATAGCTATTGTAGCATACAATAGACAAGTAACATGCCAAGGGATAAATTTAACCCAAGAAGTGAAAGGCTTATACATTAAGAATTGTAAAACATTGCTGAAAGAAATTGAAGAATACCTAAATAAATGAGGAGACATTATTTTGCATGGATAGGAAGACTTGATATTGGCAAGATGTCAATACTACCCAAAGCAATCTACAGATCCAATGCAGCTCTTGCCAAATGTCCAACAAGCTTTTTTTGCAGAAATGGAAAGCCAATCCTCAAATTCATATGAAATTGCAAGGGGTTCTGAGGAGCCAAAACAATCATGAAAAAGAACAAAGTTGGAGGACTGACTTGTACTCTCAATTTCAAAACCTTCTACAAAGCTACAGTAGTCAGCACAGTGTGGTAATGACATCTTTATGCCAGACATGTAGACCAATAGAATAGACCTGAGTCCAGTGCTCTCTTCGGCAGCACATATACCAAAACTGGAATGATACAGAGAGGTTATTAGCATGGCCCTGTGCAAGGATGATGCACAATTTATGAAGCATTTCATATTTTTAAAAAAGAATGAGAATCCAGGAATAAACCCAGTCATCTATGGTCAACAAATTTTTGACAATGGTACCAAGTCCATTCATGGAGAAAGAACAGTCTCTTCAACAGATGGTACTAGGACAACTGGATTTCCACATGCAAATGAATAAAGTTGGACCCCTATACCACATCATATACAAAAATGAACTCACAATGGACCAATGACCTAAATATAAGAGCTAAAACAATAAACATCTTAAAAGAGGCCAGGTGCAGTGACTCACACCTGTAATCTCAACACTTTTGGAGGCCAAGGTAGGAAGATCACTTGAGACCGGGAGTTCAAGACCAGACTGGGCAACATAGGGAGACCCTATCTCTACAAAAAATTTTAAAAATTAGCTGGGTGTGGTAGTGTGCTCCTGTGGTCCCAGCTACTTGGGAGGCTGGTGCACAAGAATCACTTGAACCCAGGAGGCAGAGGTTGAAGTGAGCCAAGATTGCGCCACTGGACTCCAGCATGGGCAACAAAGACTCAAATGACTCAAAAAAAAAAAAAAAAAAAAAAAGGAAAGAAAAAAGAAAAAAAATCTTAAAAGAAAACATAAAACATAGGGGAAAATTTTCATGACCTTGGATTTGGATTTCACAATGGATTCTTAGACATGACACCAAAAGCACAAGAAATAAAAGAAAAAAATAAATAAATTGGATTTCATCAAATGAAAAATGTTTATACATTAAAGGACATTATCAAGCAAGTAAAAAGACAACCTACAAAATGGAAGACAATATTTGCAAATCATATATCTAATAAGGGTTTAATATCTAGAAATATGAAGAACTTTAACTCAACAAAAAGACAACCCAGTTTAAAAACCGGCAAAGGACTTGAATTTGAATAGACATTTCTTCAAAGAAGGTATACAAATGGCCAACAAGCTCATGGAAAGATGCTCAACATTAGTCATTAGGGAAATGCTGATCAAAACCACCGTGAGAAACCACTTTGTGTTATCTAGCAGGATGGCTACCAAAAAAAAAAGACAGGCCAGGCGTGGCAGCTCACGCCTGTAATCCTAGCACTTTGGGAGGCCAAGGCAGGTGGATCACATGAGGTCAGGAGTTCAAGACCAGCCTGGCCAACATGGAGAAACGTCGTCTCTACCAAAAATACAAAAATTAGCCAGGCGTGGTGGCGCACACCTGTAATCCAAGCTACTCGGGAGGCTGAGGCAGGAGAATTGCTTGAACCTGGGAGGCGGAGGTTGCAGTGAGCCCAGATTGCGCCACTGCATTCCAGCCTGGGCGACAGAGTGAGACTCCTCTGTCTCAAATAATAATCATAATAATAAATAAACACAGCAAGAAAATAAGTAATCAATAATTATACATATCTAAAATGTATATAAAATACCTTATAGAAATGTTTATTTAAAAACGGTTCTCAATATTTGCAGTATTTCAAAGGACACAATGTCTTAAACATGAAAACTATAGACAATTTATAGACAATTTTTTTGGGGGGCATGGAGTCTCGCTCTGTCGCCCAGGCTGGAGTGCAGTGGCACAATCTTGGCTCTCCGCAACCTCTGCCTCCCAGGTTCAAGTGATTCTCCTGCCTCAGTCTCCTGAGTAGCTGGGATTACAGGCACGCACCACCACGCCTGGCCAATTTTTGTACTTTTAGTAGAGACGGGGTTTCACCATGTTGGTCAGGCTGATCTCAAACTCCTGACCTTGGGATCCGCCCGCCTTGGCCTCCCAAAGTGCTGGGATTACAGGTGTGAGCCACCGTGCCTGGTGACAATATTTTTAAGTGTGAATAAAAATATTTCTTACCAAAGGATCTGCTGGTTTTTGCTTACAAAGCTCTGTGAGTCCTTCAAGCAAAGTTGGCATTATATGTAAATTTAAATAGTCCTTAGCAGCTTGTCCAATTGGAATGGGCTCAACGATCACTGCAAATACAAACGTATTCTCATTGAAGCAAACATAATGATTAAATACTATACAATCATTAAAAAGGCTCTTTTTAAAGAACATTTCTCTTTTTCATATATATTTTTTGAGATGGAGTCTCGCTCTGTTGCCCAGGCTGGAGTGCAGTGATGCAATCTCAGATCACTGCAAACTCCTCCTGGGTTCAAGCGATTCTCCCACCTCAGCCTTCCGAGCAGCTGGGACTACAGGTCTGCGTCACCACACCCTGCTAACTTTTGTATTTTTATTTTATTTTATTTTATTTATTTATTTATTTATTTTTAATTTTTTGAGACAGAGTCTCGCTCTGTTGTCCAGGCTGGAATGCAGTGGCATGATCTCAGCTCACTGCAACCTCTGCCTCCTAAGTTCAAGTGATTCTCCTGCCTCAGCCTCCTAAGTAGCTAGGATTACAGGCGTGTGCCACTATGCCTGGCTAATTTTTGTACATTGAGTAGAGACAGGGTTTTACCATGTTGCCCAGGTTGGTCTAGAACTCCTGACTTAAGGTAAACCGCCCACCTCAGCCTCCCAAAGTGCTAGGATTGCAGGCATGGGACACCGTGCTAGGCCCTAATTTCTGTATTTTTAGTAGAGACAGGGTTTCACCATGTTGGCCAGGTTGGTCTTGAAATCCTGACGTCAAATGATCTGCCTGTCTCAGCCTCCCGAAGTGCTAAGATTACAGGCATAAGCTACTGCAACCAGCCTGTTTTCTGTTTCTTTTCTTTTTTTCTTTGACACAGTTTCACTCTTGTCACCCAGGCTGGAGTGCAGTGGCACGATCTCAGTTCATTGCAACCCCATCTCCCGGGCTCCAGCAATTCTCCTGCCTCAGCCTCCTGAGTAGAACCAGCCTCGGTTTTCAGTTGGGATGTTTCTCTTATTATTTAGACATAGGAGTTCTTTATATATTCTAGTTACAAGTTCTTTATTTCTTTATGTGGTATATTATTTGCCAATATTTTTTCCCAGTCTGTTGCCTACCTATCTTTTCATATTTATAAAAATTTAACTTTTTTTTTTTTTTTTTTTTTTAGACACAGGGTCTTGTTCTGTTGCCCAGTCTGGAGTGTGGTGGTATGAGCACAGCTCACTGCAGCCTCGAACTCCTGGGCTGAAGCATCCTCTGGCCTCAGCCTTCCAAGTAGCTGGGCCTGCAAGTGTGTGCCATCACACCCAGCTTTTTTTTCCTTTAAGTTTTCAGAGACAGGGTGTCACTCACTATGTCCCTCAGGCTGGTCTCAAACTCCCGGCCTCAAGCAATCCTTCCACCTCAGCCTCCTGAATAGCTGGATTTACAGGTGCAAACCACTGCTCCCAGCTCCTCAAATTCTTTTTTTTTTTTTTTGAGACAGAGTCTTGCTCTGTCGCCAGGCTGTAGTGCAGTGGCATGATCTCAGCTCACTGCAAGCTCTGCCTCCCGGGTTCACGCCATTCTCCTGCCTCAGTCTCCCGAGCAGCTGGGATTACAGGTGCCTACCACCATGCCCGACTAATTTTTTGTATTTTTAGTAAAGACGGGGTTTCACCGTGCTAACCAGGATGGTCTCGATCTTCTGACCTCGTGATCCGCCCACCTCAGTCTCCCAAAGTGCTGGGATTACAGGCGTGAGCCACCGTGCCCGGCAATTTTTTGTATTTTTTAGTTACAGACTGGGTTTCACTGTGTTAGCCAGGATGGTCTTGATCTCCTGACCTCATGATCCGCCCGCCTCAGCCTCCCAAAGTCCTGGGATTACAGGCATTAGCCATCATGCCTGGCCTCTTTTCATATTCTTAATGATGTCTTTTGAAGCACAAAAGTTTTTAATTTGATTTAGTCCAATTTATCAATATTTTCTTTTATGGATCTTGCTTTTGATGTCATTTTAAGAACTCTTTGTCCAACTCCAGTTACAAAGATTTTCTCCGGTTTTCTTTTAGATGTTTTTACACTGAAGTCTGTGAGCCATTTTGAGTTAATTTTTGTGTAGGCTATGAAACAAGGGTCTAAGTTCTTCTTGTTTTTATGTGACTATCATGCTGTCCTACATCCTAGCACCATATACAGATTTTCCTCAACTTACATGGGTTACATCCCAATAAATCCATCATAAGTTGAAAATATCATTAAGTCAAAAACACATTTAATACACCTAGCCTATTGAACATCATAGCATAGCATAGCCTACCTTAAATGTGCTCAGAACACTTACATTAGCCTACAGTTGGGCAAAGTCATCTAATACAAAGCAAATTTTATATAAATAACACTTTCTTTTTTTTTTTTTTTTTTTTTTGAGATGGAGTCTTGCTCTGTCAGCCAGGCTGGAGTGCAGTGGCACCGTCTCAGCTCACTACAAGCTCTGCCTCCCAGGTTCACACCATTCTCCCGCCTCAGCCTCCTGAGTAGCTGGGACTACAGGCGCCTGCCACCGCGCCCGGCTAATTTTTTGTATTTTTAGTAGAGACAGGGTTTCACCGTGGTCTCGATCTCCTGACCTTGTGATCCGCCCGCCTCGGCCTCCCGAAGTGCTGGGATTACAGGCGTAAGCCACCGCGCCCGGCCCTGAGCCACTGCGCCCGGCCCAACATTTTCTATATAATATACATATATTATGAGCTGGGCACAGTGGTTCACACCTGTAGTCCTAGCTCCTTGGGAGGCTGAGGCAGGAGGAGTACCTGAAGCCATGAGTTTGAGACCACCTGGGCAACAAAGCAAAACTCTGTCTCTTAAAAAAAATATGTATATATGGCCGGGCGCGGTGGCTCAAGCCTGTAATCCCAGCACTTTGGGAGGCCGAGACGGGCGGATCACGAGGTCAGGAGATCGAGACCATCCTGGCTGACACAGTGAAACCCCGTCTCTACTAAAAAATACAAAAAAACTAGCCGGGCGAGGTGGCGGGCGCCTGTAGTCCCAGCTACTCGGGAGGCTGAGGCAGGAGAATGGCGTGAACCCGGGAGGCGGAGCTTGCAGTGAGCCAAGATCACGCCACTGCACTCCAGCCTGGGCGACAGAGCGAGACTCTGTCTCAAAAAAAAAAAAAAAAAAAAAAAAAAAATATATATATATATATATATCTCTCTCTTAAGCAATCCTTCCACCTCAGCCTCCTGAATACTGAATAGCTGGATTTACAGGTGCATATGTAAATTAAAATATATATATTTATTTATTTATATTCAGTGTTTTTCAGATGCATATATAAAGATATATACAAAAATATATATATTTTTTTATCTTTTTGGGGGGAGGATCTCTTGAGGCCAAGAGTTCAATACCAGCCTGGGCAATATGGCGAGACCTCCTTTCTACAACAAAAAAATTCAAAAAGTAGCCAGGCACAGTGGTCTATGCCTGTAGTCTCGGCTACTCAGGAGGCTGAAGTGGGAGAATGCTTGAGCCCACGAGTTCAGGCTGCAGTGGGCACCACTGCACTTCAGCCTGGGTGACAGAGAGAGACCCTGTCTCAAAAAAAAAAAACAAAACAAAAATAGAATGGTTGTATGGATATTCACCATTAATGTACACAGCTGAAAGCACCATAGTAAAGTCAAAAAGCTGTAACTTGAACCATGGTAAGTTGGGGACTGTATTGGCAAGACCATCCTTTTCTCACGGAATTGTCTAGGCACCTTTGTTGAAAGTGAATTGACCATAAGTGTAAAAGTTTATTTCTAGATTCTCAATTCTGTTCCAATAATCTTTTTTTTTTTTTTTTTTTTTTTTTGAGACGGAGTCTCACTCTGTCGCCCAGGCTGGAGTGCAGTGGCCGGATCTCAGCTCACTGCAAGCTCCGCCTCCCGGGTTCACGCCATTCTCCTGCCTCAGCCTCCCGAGTAGCTGGGACTACAGGCGCCCGCCACCTTGCCCGGCTAGTATTTTGTACTTTTTAGTAGAGACGGGGTTTCACTGTGTTAGCCAGGATGGTCTCGATCTCCCGACCTCGTGATCCGCCCGTCTCGGCCTCCCAAAGTGCTGGGATTACAGGCTTGAGCCACCGCGCCCGGCCCCAATAATCTATATATGTATCTTTATGTCACTGCCACACTGCCTTATAATTGTGGCTTTGTAGTAAGTTTCAAAATCAGATAGTGGAAGTCTTCCAACTTTGTTCTTCTTTTCCAAAATTGAGTTCTTTGCAATTTTACTAAATTTTAAACTCAGTTTGTCAATTTCTACATAAAAGTATGCAGGGACTTTGATGAGGATTACATTAAAATTTTCTTTAATTTTTTTTTTTTTTTCTTGTACAGATGAGGTCTCACTTCATTGCCCAGACTGGTCTCCTACTCCTAGACTCAAGCAATCCTCCTGTCTCAGCCTCCCAAAGTGTTGAGATTACAGGCATAGCCACTGCATCCAACCCAAAACTGTTCATTAATTTAGAAAGAATTGCCATCTTAACAATACTGAGTCTTCCAATCCATGAATATGGAATATCTATTTATTTAGATATTTTAAAATTTCTCTCAGCAATGTTTTTTGTTTTCAGTGTACAAGAATTCCACTTTCGTTAAATTTATGCCTAAATGTGGCTGGGCGCGGTGGCTCATACCTGAAATCCCAGCACTTTGGGAGGCCAAGGCAGGTGGATCACCTGAGGTCAGGAGTTTGAGACCAGCCCACCCAACGTGGCGAAACCCTATCTCTACTAAAAATACAAAAAATTAGCCAGGCGTGGTGGTGGGCGCCTATAATCCCAGCTACTCAGGAGGCTGAAGCAGGAGAATCGCTTGAACCCAGGAGGCAGAGGCTGCAGTGAGCCGAGATTGGGCCACTGCACTCCAGCCTGGGTGACAAGAGAGAAACTCTTGTCTCTTAAAAAAAAAAACTATGCCTAAATATTATATTATTTTTAATGCCATTGTGAATGGAATTTTCCTTTTTACAGCTTTATTGAAGTATTATTGAGGTACATAAAATTGCACACAATTAATGTATACAAATTTTTTCTCAACATGGGCAAATGTTTTATTCATATATTAT